CAATGTCCCCATTCCCCCCAACATCCCCAAATCTCCCCAATGTCCCCCCAATGTCCCCACCATGAAATCCGCATGTCCCAGGATGTCCTCGCCGTGTTCCTGGGCCACACACGGGTGGGCCACCTCCACCACCAGGTCCACCCCCCTGGGGATATTGGAGGAACTGGGGACATTGCGAGGATTGGGGACAGTGCGGGGTTTGGTAGAGTTTGGGAGATCCCGGTGGTTTTGGGGGGGGGGTGGGTTGGGGGGTCCCAGGGGGTCTTGGTGGTTTGGGGGTGGGTTGGGGGGGTCCTGGTGGTTGGGGGCGGTCCCAGTGGTTTTGGGAGGATCCTGGGGGGTCCCGGTGGTTTAGGGGTGTTTCAAGGGGTCCCGGTGGTTTGGGGAGTTGCGCGGGGGGTCACTCACGTGCTGGGCAGGAGCCCCAGGTCGGGGAGGCGCAGGGCAGGGGGCAGCCCCCCCAAACTTGCCCCATCCCGGGCCCAGACCCAGGCCAAGGTCAGGCCCAGGGGGGGCCCCCGGGCCAAGAGCTGCTGGGCCAGGAACTGCCCTGGGGGGGCACAGGGACGTGTCACCCACTGCCACCTCCTGTCACCTCCCCTGGGACCCCCAACCCCCCCCGAGATCCTGTGATACCCCCTGAGACCCCCTCTAACACCTCCATTGTACCCCAGGAACTGCCCTGGAGGGGGGGGGAACAGGGACGTGTCACCTTCTGTCACCCCCCAGGACTCCCCTGGTCCCCATAACCCCCCCCAGTGCTCCCAATGCCCCCCCAATTCCCTCCCAGTGCCCCCACAGTGGCCTCAATAACCCTCCCAGTGCTCCCAGTGCCCCCTCAGTGGCCCCAACAACCCCCCCAGTCCCTCCCAGTACCCAACTGGCCGTAGCCCAGGATCCCAACGCGGCGACTCCGCGGAGCCTCCATGGCCTGGGGGGTGCAGGGTGCGGGGTGTCACGAGGGGTCTCAGATACCCCGACCCTAATTACCCCCAACACCCCCAATATCCCTCTAATTACCCCCCTAATTACCCCAAATCTCCCCCCCAAATACCTCCCGGCCCCTAATTACCTCCCAAATCTAATTACACCCCAGCCCCCAACTCCCCCCTAAGTCCCTCGAATTAATCCCCCAACTAGTCTCCGGCCCTTAATTACCCCCCAGTTACCTCCCTCCAATTACCCCCCGGCCCCCAATTACCCCCCAATTCCTCTAATTACCCCCCCCAATCCCTCTAATTACCCCCTGGCCCTAATTATCACCCAACCCCCCAATTACCCCCCCCAAATCCCTCTAATTACCCCTCAAACCTTCCCAAAATTCCCCTCAACCCCCCGGGCCCCCCCCCAACCTGCCCCGCTCTCCCCGCGCGCCCTTTGCCCCCCCCCGCCCCTCCCCCCCCCCGGAAGGCCCCGGTTTGAGCATTAACCGGGGGGGAGGGGCGGGGGGGCCCCGGGAGCCCTTTTTGGGGGGGCGGGGGGGTCCTGGGTACATTTTGGGGGGGTAACGGAGGGGTTTTATTGCAGGGGGGGCCTGGATTCCCTTTTTTTGAGGGGGGGTCACACCCCTGGACCCCCTATTTTTTTAGGGGGTGGGGGGACCCCGAACCCCCTTTTTTGGGGGGGGGTTACACACCTAGGTCCTCCCTATTTTTGGGAGGAGAGGGGTCGCACTCCTGAGACCCTTTTTTGGGGGGTGGGGGGACGCCAAATCCCTTTTTTGGGGGTTCGCACCCCCAGAATCCCCCTTTTTTTGGGGGGGCAGAAGGGGGGGTTGGGGAGTGGGCGGGGTTTTTCCTCCTGCTTCCCTCCCCGTTTCCATGGAAACCGTCTCCCCCCAGTTGCCACGGGAACCGCACCGTTACCGTGGAAACAGCTCCCCCCTCCCCGTTGCCCTGGAAACTCTTTCCCACCCCCAGTCACCATGGAAACCGCCCCGTTGCCATAGAAACCGTCCCATTCCCCCCTTCCCGTTGCCGTGGAAACCGCTGCCATCGCCGTTTCCATGGTAACGGGGCAGAAGAGTATTTCCCCTCCCCCCACGTTTCCATGGCAATGCCGCAGTGCCCCTCCCCCCCGCCGCCGTTTCCATGGCAACCGGCAGCCGCAGCGCCCCCTCCCCCTCCTGGTTGTCATGGAAACGGTGGGAGGGGAAGGGGAGACCCCCGGGCCCCCCCTCATGGCTGTGGCGTGTTTTTAGCATGTTCTTGGTGTAGGAGGCCCCAGGATGTGGCAGCGACACAGACACGCCAAGGACATGCGAAGAACATGCCAAGTACACACCAAGCATATGCCAACAATCTCATGTCACACACACACACGCCAAGGACACGCCAAGCCCATGTCACTCACAGTCTGGCTCCCCACGCCAAGGACATGCCAAGGACATGTCAAGAACACATAAAGGACACACCAAACGCACTCCAAGCACATGCCACGCACACATCAACCCATCCCAAACCACACACCAAGCCTGCGTCACTCACACGCCAAGCACACGCCAGGCCCCCGCCAGCCCCCCCCGTCTCAGCCCCCACTGGAAACGCCCGCTGGGTTTTTTATTAAAGTAGGAAAGTTTTGGCCGCGGCGAATTTAAAAAATCCCCCCCCCGGCCCCTCCCCCAACCCCCCCGGCCCCTCCCCCACCCCCCGACGCCCCCCGGGACCACCCGAGGGAGGGGGGAGGGGCGGAAAGGGGGGGTGGGGACCCCGCGGGGGCCTCCAAGAGTCCCTTGCACGAGGGTCTTGCACGAGGGTCTTGAATGAGTCCCTTGCACGAGGGTCTTGAACAACTCCCCGTGCCACATGAGGGTCTCGAACGACTCCCTGTGTCACACGAGGGTCTTGCACGAGTCCTTTGCGCGAGTCCCTTGCACGAGGCCCCCCCTCCTCACAACCCCGCGGGCCTCGCACAAGTCCTTCGTCCCAGAGTCCTTCGTGTCACCCCCTGAGTGTCACACGAGCCCCTCCTTGCACACTCACGTGTGACACTGGGACATGGGTCCTCAGGATCGCACTGTCCCCTCGGGTGCCCCACTTTGCCCCCCCCACGTCACACAAGTACCCCCGTGTCACACGAGCCCCCCCCTTGTCCCCCCACTGTCTCACAAGCCCCCCTGTGTGTCACACAAGTCCCCCCCTTGTCATTCCAGTCGCCCCGTGTCACACGAGTTCCCCCGTTGTCACACAAGCCCCTCCTGTGTCACCCAAGTCCTTCCTTGTCCCCCCATGTCACAGAAGTCCCCATGTCCCCCAAGCCCCCCCTTGTCCCCTCTCATGTCACACAAGTCCCTTGTGAACTCATCAGTCCCCCCGTGTCACACAAGCCCCCTTGTCACCCACTATGTCACCCCAGCCCCCCATTGTCACTCCCCTCGTGTGACACCAGTCTCTCCTGATCTCACCAGCCCCTCGTGTGTCATACGATGCCCCCTTGTCACCCCCCGTGTCACCTCAGTCCTTCCTTGTCACCCCTCATGTCACCCCAGACCCTCTTTGTCACCACCCTGTGTCACAGAAGCCCCCTCTGTGTCCCCCGTGTCCTCCAAGCCCCCCCATCACCCCCCATGTCACTCAAGCCCCTTGTGTGTCACCCAAGCCCCTCCTTGTCCCCCCCACATCCCCCTCTTGTCACATGAGTCCTCCCCCTCAAGTCCATGATCCAGCAAAGCCCCCCCCAAAATTTGCCCCCCCCTCCCCAAAACCTGCCCCCAATTCTCCCCCCCCCAAAAATTGGCAGGTGGGCATCACAGGGTGGGGTTTTTTTTTGGGGGGAGGGGGTTGTTCCCAGGCCCCCTCCCTCATTTTGGGGGGGTCAGAACTGGGTCGGTGGGGTCCCCCTGTGCCCCCCCGTTTTGGGGGGGTCCCCACACTCCCCCCCCCTCATTTTGGGGGGGGTCAGATCCAGGTCCATAAGTTGGGGGGGGCAGGTCCCCACTTCCCAATTTTGTGGGGGGTCAGATGCAGGTCTGTGGTTTAAGGGGGATTAAGTCCAGGTTTAGGGAGGTCCCCGTTCCCCCTTTCCGGGGAGTTCGAATTGAGTCTCTGGGCAGGAGAAGGGGGTCCCCACCCCTCATTTTCTTTTGATGGGGGCCAAATCTGGGTCTCCTGCCCGTTCTCCTTGGGGGGGCTCTGGAACAGGAGGGGTTTGAGGAGGGGGTCAGATCCAGGTCTGTGGTTTAGGGGGGTCCTCAGTCCCTCTCCTTCCATGGGGGGTCAAGTCCAGGTTTAAGGGGGGGTCCCTTTTTCCCTCATTTCAGGGGGTCAAGTTCAGGTTTGGGGGGATCCCTACTCCCTCTTTTTTCAGGGGGTTCAGGTCCAAGTCTGGGGTTTAGGGGAGGGTCTCCACGCCCCTCGTTTTGGGGGGCAGTCACATCCCAGTCCACAGGTCGGGGGGGGGGTCTCTGCTCCCCCATTTCAGGGGGGTCAGGTCCAGGTCTGTGGTTTAGGGGGGGTCCCCACACCCCCTCATTTCAGGATGGGGGGGTCAAGTCCAAGTTCTCCCTTTCTGGGAGGGGTCACGTCCAGGTTTTGGGGGCGGGGGGGTCCCTGTTCCCCCTTTCTGGGGGGGTCACAGATCCAAGTCTCTGAGCAGGAGGGGGTTCTCTGTTCCCCCCATTTCATGGGGGTTAAGTCCAGGTTTAGGGGGGGTCCCCGTTCCCCCTTTCTGGGGGGAGTCAAGTCCAGGTTTGGGGGGTCCCCGTTCCCCCTTTCCAGGGGGGCCAGAATTGAGTCTCTGAGCAGGAGAATGGGGTCCCCACCCCTCACTTTCTTTTGGGGGGGGGTCAAATCTGGGTCTCCTGCACGTTCTCCTTGGAGGGGCTCTTGAACAGCAGTGGCTCATGCACCGAGTTGAGCAGGGGGGTCTTCCCGCACCCCAGTGCCGCCGCTGGACCCCCATAGTGGGCGGCCAGTGCTGCATACCTGTCCAGGTGCTCCCTCTCCAGCGCCGGTAGCGCCAGCCTGTTGTCCCCCGACGTCCCCCCCCCCCCCGACGTGCCCCCCACACCCCCCCCCGCCCCCGCCGGGCCCCCCCGAGAGCTCGTCCTCGACGTTGACGATCTCCACGGCGCGCGCGGGGCCCCCGCGGTGCTTGTGGCGCTGGTGCTGCTTGCGCAGCTTGTAGAAGGCCACCAGCATCACGGCCGCCATGAAGGTGATGGCCACGAAGCACCCGATGATGATCTTGGTGGTCTTCAGCACGTCATCCAGGTCTTGGAGACCCCCTCCCGCTGCCCCGGCACCCGCCGCGGCGGCAGCAGTGATGGGCACCGTGAAGGGCTTCCCTGTGGCGCGCGTGGCCGGCGCCGCCGTGGAGCCGCCGGAGGGGTCCCACCCGGGTGCTGTGGGCGCCGGCGGGGTCTGGGGGGCTTGTTCTTCACCGCCGCCCTCGGTGGTCTCCACAGTGACCGTGGTGAAGTAGGTGTAGCCCGTGGCTGCGGCAGCGGCAGCGGCGGCGGCGGCGGCAGCGTCAGCGGCCGAGACGTTGAGCGTGGCCGAGGCCGTGGTGTTGCCGGCGGCGTTGGTGACCATGCAGGTGTACTGGCCCGTGTCCTGCACCGTCACGTTGGTGAAGTTGAGCGTGCCGTCGTGCAGCACCGAGATCCTCACCCGGTACGAGCCATGTGTCATCAGCGTCCCATTGGGCGTCAACCAGTTGACCGAGGTCATGGCCGTGCCCGTGCGGCACTTGAGCTCGGCCGCCATGCCCTCGGTGACGTTGAGGTCGGCCGGCGGCTCCACGATGACGGGCGCGTAGCAGGTGAAGTGGCCTGGCTCCAGCTCGCCCAGGTACCGGCCCCGCAGTGCCGGTGGCGCGTGGCACCGGGCGCAGCAACTGGTGTTGCTGGGCACCGTCTCCCGCAGCCACCAGCTGAGCCAGAGCACGTCACAGTCGCAGCGCCACGGGTTGTGGTGGAGGTGGACACGCTCCAGGCGGTGCAAGGGAGCGAACAGGTCGTGGGGCAGCGAGGCCAGATCGTTGTGGGCCAAGTTGAGCTCCTCCAGGGCTTTGAGGTCGTCGAAGGCGTTTCTCTCCACCGCCGCCACCCGCGCGTGCATCAGCCACAGCTTCCTCAGGCTCCCCAGGCCTTGGAACGACCCTGGCCGCACCCGGCCCAGCCGGTTCCCCGACAGCTCGAGCTCCTCCAGCCTCACCAGGGCGGTGAGGTTGGGGATCTCCTTGAGGTTGCACATGCCCAGGTTGAGGTAGCGCAGGTTCACCAGCCCCTCGAAGGCGGCCTCCGAGATGTACTCGAGGCGCTTGAGCTCGCCCAGGTCAAGGCGCCGCAGCGATGGCACCCGGTTGAAGGCGTAGGATGGGATGCTCTCGATGGGGTTGTTCCTCAGCCACAGCTCCCTCAGCTTGGAGAGGTACTCGAACGCCTGGGTGGGCACCGTGGTGAGCCGGTTGTCAAACAGCTCCAAGGTGTTGAGGTTGGGTAGCCCGTTGAAGGCGCCCACCTCCACCTTCCGGACCAGGTTGCGGCTGAGTTGCAGGATCTCCAGGTGCCGCAGGTGCTTGAAGGTGTCGGTGCGGATCACCTGGATGTGGTTCTCCTGCAGGTTCAGGTAGCGGGTGTTCACTGAGATGCTCGAGGGCACCTCCAGCAGCTCGCGCCGGGTGCAGATCACCCGGCTCGCCTGGTTGCTGCAGGTACAGGCGGCTGGGCAGGGCGTGGGCGCGGCCCCCGGCACCGCTGGCGCCGCCAGGAGCAGCAGCAGCAGCAGCAGGATGGGCGCTGGCGGCGACGCCGCTGGCATCTTAAGGGGCGCCGGGGCCGCCATGGCCAAGGGGCATCTCCGGCTTCAGGGCCCCGGGTGGTGCTGGGAGAGAGGGGAGAAGGGGGTTAGGGGGGTCCTCAGGGGGAGACTGGGGGGTCAGGAGGGGTCTGGGAGGTGCCCGAGGGAGATAAGAGGGTCTAAGGGGTTCCCGGGGGGTCCAGAAGGAAACTGGGGGCTCAGGGGGGTCTCCATGGGGGGTTAGGAGGGGTCTGGGGGAGATATGAGGGGTCCACAGGGGGAATTAGTGGGTCAGGAGGGGTCAAGGGGGCTCTGTGGGGGTCCACAGAGGGAGATAAGGGGACCTAAGGGGTTCTCAGGGATCTGGGGGGGGGTCCTCCAGGGGAGACTGGGGGGTCAGGAGGGATCGAGGAGGGTGCCCAGGGGGAGATAAGGAGGTCTAGAAGGGTCCTCAGGGGGAGACTGGGGGGTCTGGGGAGTCATCAGGGGGGTAAAGAGGGGTCTAGGGGGGGTCTAAGGGAGTCCTCAGGAGAAGAGAAGGAGGTCTAGAGGGGTCCCAGGGGGAGATAAGGGGGTCAGGAGGTATCGGGGGGGGGTCTGTGGGGTCCACAGGGGGACACTGGGGGGTCTGGGGGGTCCAGGGGGGTCAGGAGGGGTCCAGGGGGAGATTGAAGGGTCTGGGGGGGGTCCCTGGGGGGTCTCCAGGGGGACACAAGAGGCATCCGTGTGCTCACACATGTGTGAACACCCCACACACACGTATGAACACCCCACATACCAAGAACACATGTGTGAACACACATATGTGAACACCCCCACATACCAAGTACACACGTGTGCACAGCCCTGCTGCTGCCTCAACACACACATGTGCACGCACATGTGAAAACCCCAGGTAACGTGTCCCAGAGCACATCCCTGTGCATTTACACACGTGTGCACCCCTCCCTGCACACA